GGGGGGGGGGGACACAAAAGTTTAAGTAGAAAAGCTCATTACATTTGAAACAATTTCTAAAGGATTCAGTACAGAAAACAGAGAATAGCTTTTTGCATCTTCACTGAGAACAGCCATGCTAAAGTAAAGGCAAGTAACACTGAAAAAGCCAGCAGAAAGATTCTTCATCCTGCGCAGAAGCATTTCAGAGGTGTGCCTTGGTTTGGCAGAAGATACAATCCCTCAACTAAATCAACACAGTGGTTAAAAATAGCATTTCACAAGAACGGACACACACGTACATCAATATTTTTGTTCTACCACTTTGCAAAGTTTGTCCAAATATTTGTGTTTAAGAACAAAGCAAATAAAGTTTGTCTTAAGGGGCCACCCATAGTTTGTTAGCAGATAGAGCAAGCGTTGCTTGTTAGCCTGTGGAAGGAAGGAAAAAAACAAGCCTTTAAGAAGCTGTGGTGCAAACCAATTCTGAACTGGTTCTCAATGCAGCAGAGTGTTTAAAGTGTCTCTCAAGCCTGTAACAGACCAAATGCGCGAATTCCATAGCTCAGGTGACTGACAGTCACTGTATTCCAGACATGATTCAACAAGAGTCTCAGTACAACAGCTTCTGCTAGTAGGCTGCACACCGTCAGCTTCTGCTAGTAGGTCACACCCCGTTGCAGCATGGAGCTATAGATCAAGATTGCAGCCCTCTATCCCCAAGCAATCCACAGATACAAGACTGTCCAGTCCTGCTGCAGCCACTGTAGGCCCCCGATACCAGTTTCTTTCAAAAGGGCCACCCACAGATCAAAACCAACGGCTTCGGACCATCAGCGGAGAGCAACCTGGACTGCGGAGTTAAAGCGTAGAATCCATCACTGGATGCCCATTCTGAGAGAGGATCCGATGCTCTATGGTGCTGGATTTGCTTGAGGCAGGTGAGTACTTTGGCATCCTGTGGCAGGCAAAGCAAAGGATCTTCCGGAAAGTGCTGCGCATCTCATTGTCCCGGTAGGAGTAGACAATGGCATTGATGAGTGAATTGATCTCAGCCAGTAAGAGGAAGTATTTCTCCACTGCCAACACATTGCAGCTCTTGCAGCCAAGGCCATCCAGCAGGAGAACCACCTGCCCTGGTGTCCAGCAAATCACAAAAGCACCTAAGACAGGAGAGAGGAACCTATGAGAAAAATTCCACAGCAATTCAAGGCTTTAAGCGGTTGCACATTCGCAAGGAGAGGGATGTGTGGTGGAAGATATTGCTGTCAAATTGCTTTAATGCTGAAGAAGCACGCTGACTACATTACCTGGTTCACGGCTGGCCCAGCCTTCCCCAACCTAACTCCTTCAGATGTGTAGATGCTGCAGCTTCAGTACTGGATGGGAATTCTGGAAGCTCCAGCCCCAGCATACCAGGGAAGTCTAGGTTAGACTTTTGCCAGCAAGGAGGGAGACTAGCTGGAGGAGGCATACTAGACTCCCTCTTCAAAGGAAGGAAGGATGCATATTCTGACGCTTTCACCTGTGATTTTTTCACAATTATCTTTCCAAAACTGACAACCAAAATGATTCAAAATGCTATCCCATGTGGGCCTTTTTAATTTAGAAAGGAGATGGATAAGGGGGAGAAAGTGGCATAACATGACTGGCAGGGAAAGCATGGGCAAGTAAGTTTTTCTCTTTCTCTCACACTAGTAGAACCTGAAACCAGTTCTCCTCTTGAGAAGATTCAGGATCAATACAAAGAAGCTGTTCTTCTCCCAACATGTGATGAAACCATGGAATTCAGTGCTATAGCCATCGATTTAGAAAGTTTTAAAAGGGGACATGGTGGCGCAGCGGCTTAATGACGCTGAAAGTTGCCGGCCAGAAATGGTCGACA